CTGCCATCAAGCACTAACAGCTTAAGGAGTTAGAAGAGCCAATTATTTGCTATTACTGAAATATCACAATGGCCTGAAAGAAATATTTCCTCAGAAGCAAGAAAATTATTGGATAAAATGCTTATTCCAAATTTTATTTCTCATTAGAATGTATTATTTAATTATACAATTATTTTAAGTATTACTTTTCAAAAACATGACATTGACTTGATGATTAAGAAAATGAGAATAGCGGAGAGCATTTTATCATAACTCAAGGAAATTAGGGCTAATGTTGATGAAGAATTTCATATTTTATATTTTATTGTTGAGTCAAAAGCAGAGCTATACCTGTTTAATATTTGTCTCCCTCGACTTGTAGCAAGGCAAGCTCATCGTTAAAACATTAATATAGGATCAGTAGAAGAGTATATCTTAAATCAGATACATTTATAACCCAAATAAATGAATTTTTAATTCATCATGCAGCACTTACTCATCTGCAAATAACTTCCACAAAAGCCTTCCCAACCTTTTTCAGATGGTGATAGAAAAAAAAATATTTGTTAGATTTTTATTATGTATATAAAGTATCTTATGATGCCTTACTAGCTGAATAACTATGTTTATAAGATTAACTATGGTTAATATAGTCCCAAAAAATGTTGTGGGTGCTCTGCATTATTTCAAACACATTTTAGATTAAATTCCCAATGTATTAAAAGGGTTTATAAACTCTTCCCATTAGTAAACTAATGAGAGAACATTCTCTTTTTTAAGAAGAATAACAGAGGGCTGGAGAAGTACCATTTGCAGGGCACGGCCCGGATTTTTTTTAAAGATTTTTTACGGCCTGGCCTAAGTTTTTTTAAAAAAATTTCAGGCCCGGCCCGGCTTTTTAAAAAAAAATATTTAGGCCCGACTCGGCTTTTTTTAAAAATATTTTAGGCCCGGCCCGGATTTTTTTAAAATAAATTATATTTATTTTTGATTTTTATAGCTAATAATAACGATTTCAAATATAGGCTGTTTTAAAAAATACAGCCCGGATTTGGTGTTTTTTTAAAATAATTCAGACCCGGCTTAGGTGTTTTTAAAAAAATTTCGGGCCCAGCCCGGGTATATTTAAAAAAATTAAAATAATGTCCGGCCTGAAAAACATACCAAGAAGTACAACATCTGAAAGTAGATTGAAAGATTTGGATCTTTTGAATATTCATAGGCATTTGACGACAAGCAAGGATGAGATAATTGAAAAATTAGCTCAATCACAACGAAGATTGGATTTTACATTGTAAATTTATAACATACAAAATGTGATTATTCCTAAGAAACTTTTTGTGTAAAGGCTCAAAAAATTCAATTTCTATTTTGGGTCATTTAAGTGATTCTTTACATATAATTTTTTTATAATTCACATTAATTTAAATTGTGTATTGGAAATAGTTATTAGTCCTAATAAATTTATGCTTGATATTTTTAAAAAACAATAATATTTCTTAAAAAATTTTATTACCCCCCCCCCCCCCCCCAGACAAAATTCCTGCGTAGACGCCTGCTTTAGCATTATTAGTTTCTTCGAGTAATAATTTTTTTTAAGTTTAATATTTCATCTAATGTCTTCTGTAAATACAAAGTAAATACAGTGGCTCCTACAATGGAGGGGGTGAGGTCCGAAGCAATTGCTTCTAAAAATTTAAGTGGACGTACTTTTTTTTTTGAATTTTATTCTTTTATAGTTTTATTACATCCATTCATAACCAAGTGATTTCTGGTTTATGATATCCTCGACTTCGTGATTCCGTTAATACATATTAAATTACATAATAAGTGGGGGGTCTTCTTATTACATTTTAATTAATTTTGGTCGATGTTTAACAAATCAGGTTGTTATTCGATATTTCTTTTCACAAAATTATTTTTTCAATTTTAAAATATGCCCAAAAGTATTAACCAAAAAAATTACAAATGCTTAATTAATAATTGCACATGGCATAATATAAAAGATGATAAATGAACAGACCTCATTAGAAAAAGACATGGTGGGAAATTTTAACGATAAAAGCTTTGAAATAGTAGCTTTTAAGAATATTTCTCAAAATTGGACGAATAGCAAATAAATTTTTCTGCTTTCCCTAATTTAACAATTTTATATAAATATTTATTAACCATTCCTACTACCTCATGCAGATTTTCACTGGGTGCAAACTCCCCTCAAAAACATTTGCCTACCCCCCTAAAAAATTCACCGCCTTCGGCGCCGATGTTTTTCCATTATTAATTACACCTTTTTAATTATAATTATATATATCATTCTTTCAGAAGTTTTAAAAAGAATAACTTAAATTATTTTATCCCTACTACCAACTACCAAAATTTTGTGTATAATATAAAGGAGTTAATTTTTAGATAATGAATTCAATTAAAACCCCCTTATTTACAATGAAGCTTGCTGAGAATGTCTAAACCTTTTAAATTACATTTAAAAGGATAGCAAAAAGTTTCATTTGAGAATTAATGTCTATGATTGTGTGCAATATATAGATTTGGTCGATGATCAGCAATATCATTGTGTTTTAGTATTAATATTTACAGCAATATATTTTATCCTATTTCATCTCAAATTTAATAGATAATCTCCCTACCGTCCTCAAGGAAAATTGATTGCAAACTGTTCCTACCCCCTCCCCTCCCCCATTTATATAGACCCTGACCTCATGTACTGCCCAAAGGGCCATGAGTAATAAATTAATTAAAACAAGACTTCGTAGTACTATGAAAAATTCATTTCTTAATAATTTAATGCTTTTTACATATCGAAATTCAGAACACTCATCAATGGGGCGAATATCAGCAAAACTATTTATGGGAAGGGCATAAATACATTATTGGACTGGGTCAAACCTTCTATTATTGAAAAATTAGAAACTTCTATAGTGAAACCTAACCAGTTAGACAGAATACATAGATATTTTGGAGAAAACGATTTAGTTTGGATAAAAAACCAAATTGAAAAAGGATGGCATGAAGGAAAGATGATAAATCAACAAGCTAAATTCTCTTATAATGTAGAAGAAAAAGAAAAAATAGTACGAAAACTCGCCGACCTACTACGAACAAGGGAAGAGTTAGTCGAACCCGAATAAATAATAATAGATGACAATATAAAGTTAGGAGAAGTTAAAATAGTAGAAACAATTAAACCAAGTCAAGAAAGAATTCAAAACCGATACCCAACGAAGAAACGAAAGCAAACCAAGTTTAATAGACGAATTTGAACTTGGTGGGAAATATGGTATGCTATATTTCATATATTGAGCATAAATTACTAGCTAGATTTATTAAATTTTAAGTTTTATTATAATTATATTAGAAATAATTTGTGCATCCGACTTGTGCAAACTATAAAGTAGGCAGGAGAGTATAATTTGACTATTTTAGAGAGTAAGCGGAAAATCTAGGGGAAAAATTTCCCGGAAAATTTCGTAAAATAATTCCCCGTTTCTTCTAATAAAAAATATAAAGTGGAAAATAATTCCCCGGGAAAAAAGCTAAAAAAATCTCTTAATATTTTTTTTAAATATCAAAAATGCCCGCCACTAAAAAAATACAAATATTTTCTCAGTGAAAATATATTATAAAATTTAATTTTTATTGAATTTAGCAAGTTGGTAAAAATAAATGTTATACGATTTCAATGAATATGAAATTTAGAAAAATAACAATTGTTATAATTATTAATAATAATTTGCTAGATGAGGATTTTTAATATATTATAAAACTGTCAGTTTTCTGGATGTGCTTAATTCTTCTATCGATTAATTATCCAACAAAACGTTTTGTTTGATCAACTATAAAGGGATGTTTACCGTTATATTCTATTTAAAGTGACGAACCATTATACGTTTTTACAGAAAATAACACCTTTATTAAAATTAAACTGTTATTTCGTACTCTCGAAGATTTAAACACTGAACAAAATTTCTGGTCCTTTCCATGGAACTTCTTAATGAGAAATCTAACAAAATTGGTAAATAAGAACAAATTAACACCAAATAACGGCATAATAATTATTTATAAAAATAGCTAAAACCTTGTTTAAGTGATCAAATATAACTAATCAATTAGCACAGGTATAAATAGCTAAACAATAGAATTATTTTAATTAACAAATATAATTAAAAATCTTCTAATTTAGACAGTTAGTGACCTCAAGGCATTATAACTTTAAACAGGGAAAATTAATATCATCTCTAGCAAAAAAATCTCTAAATTAAAAAAATCGAAGTTATCAGAAAACTTAAAATTAAGCATTTTCCAGAAAAAAATCTAAAAGTAAAATTCGTTATGTTTCTTGACTCACTTTCGTTTCGCAAGTTGCTTTCATTTTGAAAACACGATGTTTTTGAAAGATACTATGATATTGCAAAAGGCCGATATCTGTTTGAAAACGCATACTTTCTATATAAATAATGTTTTTTCAGTCAAATCTTCCATCCCAGGTTTAGTGTCTTTGGAACGATTATATAGGCTCATAATATTTTGTATTTTGCAATATTTTATTATTTGTGTTAAAAATTATCATATTTTCAAATATGATTGGTCCTAATTAATTTTATGATTAGTTCTAATAAATTTTTAATGCTCCAAAAAAATCATTTTAATATAAAAAAATTACTGGCTACGTGCCTGCCTAAATATAATTTAATTAAAGTTTTATAATAGTATATTTTTTACGACTTATGTTACGGTGTAATAAATATATTTCGGACAAAGATTAGTGAAATCGGATCGGTAATCGCCCAATATCAATTTAATATAGGTAATATCGTATCGGACTCCAAAAAGTGATATCGGTACACCCTTAGTATATATATTATAATTATATCATATATAATTAAATTTCAGACTTAGTTATTTTTAAAATACTTTTATTTGGTCAACGTCCCCTTTTGCCCTATGCCAGCCTCCTTACTAATAAAATAATTATTCGACAATATTATTACAAGCCAAATCTCTAAATAATTTTTATTAATATTCATCTAACCTAACTCATAAAATGATAATATATAAATCTAAAAGATATACAATAAAATTATAAGAAATAATCACGTCAATTTTATATTACTAAGTCCAAATTGATTTATAAATAATATTGTGTAATATGTCAAAACGAGTGTATATTACGAGACCGTTCCCATAGGATATCCGTGGTTGGCTATAGTTTGTTTATCTTCAGGAACATTAGTTACATGCCCATTCCTAAAAGCAACTGGAATAGCTGAAAGAAAACTTCCTAATTTAGAAGATTTATTGTTTGATTCCTCTTCCATGATATTTTTATTATTATTACCAGAAAATAAAAATTTAGAGATAAAGAGCGCTAATAATATAGCTACAGTGCAAATTGAGAGGGTTAAAGCTATCCTGGCTTGTTTTAAGGAATTGAGAACTAAATTTTGACGATCGTTACCATAGGCATTATTCGTTTGAGCAAGACTATTGGGGATAGAATTTGTGTCAAAGTTATCATTGTCAGCATCTCCATCATATATGTCATTAGTTCCTTTGATATGATATCTTACCTTACTTTCATCTATCAAATCAAACAGATATTAATCAATATATTATTTTGGTATCAAAAATTATCAAACCTCGAGTGTTATTAAAATCGGTTACATTTTCGCAAAAAGTGAAAGCATTCAAAGGTGGATACAGGATAGGTACACCTGCTAAATTTGTTGGAGTGTGACATTTGGCGTTTTCGATGTTTAACTCTTGTAGATATTTATCTGAATGACTCAATTGATCTGACCAAAATTTGTACCATTCTCGAAATCTGCGCATTTTACAATCGCAGTGCCAAGGGTTATCTAATAAACATTTCAGTAGTAAAGTTAAATATTATATTATAGTAAATTAGGCCTAAATGTTTAAGCCTGACAATAACCAATAAAAAGTCGAGATAATTGCACCAATCTAAATTTAAAAGATAGACTTAATGATTTAGGTAATAAAAATCTCCCACATTAGCTACTCAATATTATAAATTGCATATTACCAGATATTCCGATGAAACGAAGTGTATCTTCAGAGCCCTGTAAAGAATCGATATCTAAACTAGTCATATTATTGTGGCTCATATTTAAGTATACTAAATTTTCAAATTCGGATAAGGTTAAGGAAGGTAGCGTTGGTAAATAATTATGAGAGAGATCTAGATATGTCAAACTCTTCCCTAAAGATTTAAACGAAGTTGAGTGTATGATTTTCAAATTATTGTTGGAAAGGTCTAATTTTTCGAGTTTATCGTTTTGATAGAACGTTAATTCGGCAATTTCATTGATAAAATTTTTGGATAAGTCCAAAGTGTTTAAATTTCTAAATGTTTGAAAAAAAAATTCAGGTATTTGTGTAAGAAGGTTGGCTTTAAGATCTATAAATTTCAGCCATTTGCTGTCGGCTAAAACATTGCTTTTAATATTTTTAACTATATTATAACTAAGAATTAGATGTTCAAGGGAGTTTAATCCGTAAAAAGAGTTTGCATTGATATCGAATATGGTATTTGACGATAAATCCAGATGTGTTAGTTTGGGAAGGTTAGAAATACTCTCCGGTAATGTAGATATTTGATTCCCTAAAAAAATTGATAAAGTCAATTAATTTCATAATTATTTATAACAATCGCATGAATCAATAAATTCAATATACCTTTGAGACTTAAAGATTTGAGAGAATTTGACATTTGCATAAATGCACCGCTTTCAATTGTATCTATTCCCGAGTTATTAAAACTTAATTCTCTAAGATACCTAAGGTTGGAAAAATGTTCTTTAGTAATTTTTTTAAATGATTTGAGGGAAATGAATAATTTTTCCATGTTTGGGGTTTCGCTGAAGACAAGAGGAGGGATCTCCTTTAGAAAATTTGTCACTAAGGAGAAATCTTTAAGGTTTTTCAGACCTGATAGGGAATCATTATAAATTTTGTTAAGCGTGAAACTCATTATTTTTAAAACTTCTAGATTTAATAATGTGTTGAAAGCATTATGAGGGATGACTCTGATGTTTGCGGAGCTCACAAAAAGTTCTTTCAAATTCTTTAAAGGTTTGAGGGCATCAACAGGGATTTGATCCAGTGTTTTGTATTTAAAACTAACCCAAAAAAATTCCAGGATGGTCAATTTTTCTAACGAATCTTCGATACCCAAAAATGCGTTGGACGAAAAGTTTTTGATGCGATTAAGTCTGAATTGAATATCCTTGACGGATTTTAAGCCTGAAAATGTCCCATTTTCAACGGTGGGGATAAAGTTTAGTTGCAATATGAGAGAGGTTATAGGCAAATCTGGATTATTTTTATATATATTTAGCGCTTCGGACAACATTTCACCTTTTTTGTTAACACATGTTACTTCCATTCCAGAGTCGTGAGATGCTAAGCATGTGCAATATTTTAGAGTTCCCGATTGAGCTGATGTTTGGGGACTAGTACCGGCAGGACATTTTGGTTCGTGATGTCCTGAGACTAAAGCAGCGAAACTAGGGAGGATATGTATGAGAAATACTAAAATAATGGACCATAAATTAATTCGACTGTGGCGAGATTTTATACTTTGCTTGAATCTGGTTGTGAGAAAGGTAGGTTCCGAATTAGTATATAGAATATTTCCGATCATATCCGATATATTACCATTCAAACGTGCCCTTCGACTATTTATCATTATATTTCTGTATAAATATTAACTAATTTTATGAAAATTTTTTTTATAAAAAATCAAGGTTTAAAGCGCTATAATGTATATTTTTTAGATATAAATAAAAAAATATAGACAACTTCTATAAGTCCTCAAAATTTTATAATAAATTTATTATCATAGCATCATAGACGTAATCTATCATTAATACAAACTAAAGCATAAATAAATTTTATTATATATCATGGATATTAAAAATTAGTTTTATTTAAAATTACTATTATATATTTTGAGTCAGAAAAAACAAAAAATAAATTAAATCTCGCTACATAATATGTATAGGTCAAATTGATACGAAATATAGAATATATTTTTTAAAAGATTCATTCCATGGCCATTTATGTCATAATTATTATATTTTTAAAAAATGTTAATTTTTTTAACTTTATTATTATTTTTTTTCATTGTAATTTTTTTTAATGTATATTTATTTTTGTTGGATAATATATTATATATATATAGGGAGATTATCTAATTAGAACAAAAAAATATTTGAGTCAATGTTATATTTGATATGAATTGAATATTACGATAATCTATAATTTTATGGTTTGGTGATGCAATTTAATTTAAAATATATAAAGATAAAATTATTATTAATCATATTATAATATTTACATAATGAATTGAATATCATTATTTCATAACTTAAACGAAAGAATTTTGAGCATAAAAAATCTAATTTTAAATACTAATTTATATTAATATTAAATGATAATTTTAAAATTCCGTGAATATAAATTTATATCTAAAAAAATTGAAACCAAATATACCTTTTTCCAATCGATTTTAAATGAATAGAATTATTAGATAATTTAATTATTTAAAAATCAAATTATAAAATAAGATGACAAAAAAAATATTATGCTTTATATTTATATCCTAATTAAATTTCCCTTTCAACAATTTATAAACAAGACTCTTAAAACCTGTGTTTTAAGTTTAATTAAGATTTTATTAATTTATTATTATGTGAGAAATATATAAGATGTATAAAACTAAGAAGAATTACATGAAGTTAGAAAAAAGGAATAAAAAATTTCCGAACTAAAACAACTAATAAAGAATGACAATTGAAATTGGCTAGTTTCCAGTTTAATTGCACAAATTAATTATTAAAATACAAGAGATTATGAGTATTGTTTTATTATATTTATTGTGACATTTCACAAAATTACATCATATCTCTTTCTTTAAAACACAATTAAAAAACTTTATTAAATTTAATCGACAACAAAATGAGATAATTATTTTTTGTATAATTATTTTATTGTTTTAAAAAAAGAAGCTTTAAATAGGTAAAAATTTGTGAGAAAAAGTATATAATTTTTATTTACCATAAAAGGCTATAAAATCTTATCTGAGTCCTATTTGAAGATTTGATTTGCATTTTTATTTTATAGTATATGAGTAAATTTATTTTCAATGCTTATAAATTGTTCTTTTTTAACCTTGTCACCTTAGACGAATATACACCTATTTTTTACACATCAAAATTTGATTATTAATATATTAATTACCTTACCTACATACAAATGCAACTCATGTAAACAAACATATTTTATTAATTTATTCTTTTCAAGATCAAATTATTTTTATTAATGAACAAATCACTAAAATAAAAAATGATTTCAATGGCAAAAAAAATAGAAAACTTGAATCATATTTATTTCATCGATTTGCATTAATATTTTTTTGTTAAACTTTTCTTATTTAAATCAAATTATATTTCACTTTCTCGTCTATATTTTAATATATATATTGTATATTATAATTAATTTATTAGATTTATATATTATTATGAAAATTAAAAAACATTAAATTCAAATAGGAAAGAATTTATAATATGAAATTTATACAAAAAAATATGTGTAGTCAATAATGTGAAAAATAAAATTGGGTTAAAAAAATATTTTGGTAAAAAATCAACTCTTAAACTAATATAAGGTTTATAAAAACATTGATGATTGAATTAAGTAAATAAGAACTATTTCTTACTCTTATTTTTTTTTACCTATATTTTAAATTTATAAAATTAATTTATACAAATCAGATAGCTAATAAATATGATACATATACGATAATTTTTATTAAATTTTATATTAATATAAGTTAAATTATTATTTCTAATTTCAATAAATATATATTTTTTGTTTAACTGTGACGAACTTCAAAAAAAATGTTTTAAGGGTATCAAGGTTGATGACAATAATGAATTTTTTTTTAAATTGCTACTGTATCGAAAATAATAAAAGAAAATGAAACTGCAAAGTAAATATTTAATTTAAAACTTAAAGATCAGTGCAATTTTACGTAAATGTTATAAATGATCAAAACTAGAAAGATTTAAGCTAAATAATAATTAATATTATGTAACTGAGAATTTTACTCGGTGGCAGAAAGGTTGACATATTACTAGTATGGTGGAATCTGAAAACTAAATCACATATTAATTATAATAACAAATTTATAAGTTTAAAAATTTTTTGGAGCCTATAGCGCTAATCTAAATACGCCACTACCCTACCATATATCTGGCGGCCCTTCGGCCCTAACTTCGTTCAAGAGTTGGTCTCTAAGGAGCCACAACTTCCACCTGAAAAATGGTGATTTATTTTGTAATATTAAATTGATCTATAAAATATGATACATTTTTGGATTTTTAAGGAATTTTTGTCATGGGTAATCCATAACCGGATATTTTTGTTAAATTATCCATGAATTTCAGACAATTTTATCCAAAATTTTTATTCTAAATCGATTTTTATATATTAGGTAATTAAAGTTAGCCTAATTTTTCCCTCCAAATCATAATTTGGTAAGCCTTACTGAATTTTTAGGATTTATTTTGCTCCAAGTAATTTATCCTTCCAAATCATAAACAATTTTATTTGAAACTGTATAGAGAATATAACCCAATAAATATGTGTCAGAATCATCACCCTCCACCCACTTCCCCATCCCCATTATATTCATTCCATCATATATTAAAGGGAGGTGATGTCAGCATTACTGTTCCCACTCCCTACAATTTTCACACTTTACGTGAGAAAAAAAACCATACAGATGCTAGATCTTTATTTTTATAATAACATCTAAATAGGAAAATGGTTTAGTATATCTTAGTATTGAAGATAGGTTCGAGTTTTCCGAAACGATTGGATATAAAATTTTTAGATATGGATTATTTATTATCTTCAAAGTGTGGATATAAGAACTAGTTTTTTGATAAGTGGTCATATTTGTAATGTTATTTTTTTAATTTTATGTTTTTGTTCTAGGTTTTCGCACAATGCTAAAAAAGAATAAAATTAACATAGTCAACAAAACCCTTCCACAATGAAAATTTTTATTTAATCGGGCATGGGTTTTTTTATCTTCTTATTTTCCATGGACATTTAAGTAAGTGACTTTGTCTCTTACAATCACAGATAACTGCGGCCTGCCCCCATGGGTGGTCTTTCTCTTAATTATTTCTGTTGATTTTTTTATTTTTTTGAGAGAACCAAGCGTAACTTTCTACTATATATATATATAACTTCTGTCATGTATTTAACTTATAGGGCTAGGAGTTTTATATCACGTATTTGATACATTTACTAAAATTAAGAAATAATTGAACGGAAAAAACCCAATATAATAAGTTAAAAAAACATTTTGTGTTATTTAATATATATATACAGGTCCAACATAAGCAAGGTTCTAATTTGAGAACTATAATAAATGTGCGAAAACAATATAGATAATCTCCTTTGCTCTACTTTAAGAAAAGCAACAAATAATAACGGAATATAATATAAAATATTTGTTTAAAAAAAATTGAAACTTACCTTTACAAAGAATTTAACCAAAGAAGTTATGGGCTTGGAAAAGGTAAGATTTTGTAATAATCATATTCAGTTACCGATACTTACTATTGCATTTAGAAATTCCGTTGTGTCATTATTATCGGCATTTTTATAAAATTAAGCAAAAAGGTATAAAAAAAATTTTCCGGTCATGGGTTACTTTATTTGAATATTTACAATTATATGAATGAATTCGTTTTTCTCTCTATAATGTAATAATGATAGATAATTTATTTTAATATAAAAATTAAACTTTATTAAACAAAAATATTAAATATTTTTAGGCCCGTTTAATTTTATAATTATAGTGAAAGGAGGGTGGTGGATTAAAGTCTGAATAAAGGATTGCTATGGAAAAATTAAAATTAATTTTAAAAAATATTATATTTAAAAAATTTTTCACAAATTGACATTAATTTCTTCATTAACCGAAATGTTTCGTATCTTAAGTATAAAAACCTATGCTAAAATATTGCAAAAGTTTATATTAAATATAATTCATCAAAATATAGGCCAAATAATTATTGATTAAAACTATTGCACTTTTTAGACAGATAATCTAGCAAAATTTTTTTAAAAAAGTGAAATAACAAAACCCAATTTCCGGGGAAAAAAATTTAATTTTAGGAATAAAACTCTCTTGTATTATAATTTTATATAATAATGAGGTTGATGCAGCTCTGTCCATATTTTTGAACGGTCGGACAACTTGAATATTAATTCCTACATTAAAAATATTATGAGCAAGGCTAGATAACTTTATACAAATATTTTATGCGCAGGGCAAAAAAACCTATTCAAAAATCTTCGTGGGGCGCGCTCACCTAGATTTACTGTATGAAATATGATTATAAATCGTACCATTTTTTAAATAAATCTAACTAATGCCACGAGAGAAGTGACACGAACCAGAAAGGAAATAATGACAAACTCTATAATTTTTTTTATATCATATAATTTAAAAACAATGATCAATCTTAGTTATAACCTTTAACCAAGGAGCGCTCGCCAAGGCATTTTCAAAGGGAAATTCTTTAATAGATTTTTTTATTCAGATGCGGTAAAACTTTTTTCCGGATGTGGAAAAATATTTTTTTAAAGAATTTAATTTATCTAAAGAAAATTTATAGAAATTAAATTAAAACTAATAATTTCAGGCACGCGCTCGTCTAGCGTTATTTGATCCTGTCAGACAATTTATCAAACGCTTTTAATTTTTTATATCTAATTGTTGATAAAAACAAACTTTACTAATTATAAGGTAGAAGAAACTTACAGAATATTTAGGATACTTTTGTGTTATGTTAAACAAATATAAGAGGCAGGGATAGTTCAAATTAAAAATAAATATATAATCAAATTTCCTTTGGTGGATTTCGTATCGTATATCATATGAAAAATGACCAAAATTCTAAAATAATATCAAAATTTATTTAATTAGTGTTATCAGGATCGTAGCCAAGAATATTCTACAGAGGATTTTTTTATATTGGAAGGATTTTTAAATTTATTAGAACTAGTGCTGTAAAGTAACGTCATTACTACCGTCGTTACTTTTCTTGAAGAAAAGGAACGCCATTCGTTACCTTCTTCTTGAGGTAACTAGTAACGGTAACGCTTTTCATTTTTTTGAGTAAGGATAAGGCAAAACGTTATTCGTTACTTTAAATTTTTTCTTAAAAAATATTTAAAAAAAGAAAAACATATTTAATTGTACTATAAAACTACTTTTATTTATTTTTTAATATAAATAATTTAAGCCGAGTTTTTAATTCATATCAACCACCATTCCTTCATTTTTAATACTCTTTTTTAAATTTTCAGTTGAATGTTTATTTAATTATTATTCAATCAATATTAAAAGTAAATGTTAATAATATTATTATTCTATTTTATAATTTATTTTAAGAATTATGTCCATAGTACTTACTTCTTCAGATGAAGAGGATTTAACCCTACCATGGCCCCAATTTGAAACATATTTTACACTAATAAAGAAAGTCTACACTTTGTAAAAGTAAATTATCTCCCAAAGCAAATATTTAACTCAATGTCCA